TATTAAGAACAAGGAAGAAGATCTACAAGTTAATCTTTCAGAAGATAAGCGAATTTATGGTAACTTAATCTTAGAGCGTTTAAAGAAGAATGTCGAACAAGATATGAAGACTCTACCGCTGGATAACTATTTCATAGAGAAAGGTCCAAATTCTGATGAAGATAAGTGTTTTATCTTAAATCCGGATCATCAAAAAGTAGATTTAGATAAATACCATTATATAATTGAGCCTTGGCAACTTTATTCAAAAACAGCCAAAATAAACCCATTATATTCGGCTTATCTCGATAAAAATGTTCTGCTTTTAATTGGGTGTCACACGGTTCAGGTTTGGCATGATCAAGATAAAAAAAAAAAAACTCTAGAGTTCATTAGTGTAATCGATAAAAGCAAAACCAGGGTTGATGATGGAACTAATATTAAACAAGTTAAATATGGAAAAAGAAAATTTGAACTTGAAGTTCGATCAGAAGATTCTAAATCAATTGAATCAATTAAAATGGGAGCTGATGATGATATAGTTCATGCTGTAAAAGAGGCATGTGAATCGCTTAAGTTTTTATATCAGATATATAAAGGATCCGAATATGCCATATCATTATCCAATGAAATTCAACATATAAAATTCAAAGAGATAGTAAAACAAACACGAGATATTATCGTAAGATTTATTCATCTATATCCGATTGTTTGGCGACTGTTAGACATTAGATTTGGTTTGTTGAACATTCTCATTGAAGCGAGGGAATATCAACTTATAAAATACATATTATTTAATGAAAAAAAAACCATCGATGGTCCCGAAGCACGTATTCTTAAAACCCTTAATTATCTAGTATCCAAATCGGAAACAAATGAACAACTTTTACATGACATAGATCCAGATCCGAACAGTTTATTGCATGAAAAGTCACTGCATATGCCGCAATATTCTGCATGGGATGGTGGAAACAATGCGATTCATAGAGCGTTTGAAGGTTGGTTTATTTAAATTTATATTAATTAGTTGTGAATGTAAAATTTGTTAATTAATTAACCATTATTTTCATTAGATGAAGATCCCGTATTTCTAGGATATTTTTTAGAATATTATTCGAATAAAGCAGTCGAAGAAATCGGATGGATGATTACAGTTAGTGAACTTCTACCGTGGCTATATGATAAGGAAAATGAAAATTACGGTTAGTTTACATTTTCTATATGTAGAAAATGGACATTTTTTGGTAAGTTGTCTGATTCAGCCTTTCTTATTCATTGCACATCATGCTTTAAATTATAAAATGGAACGTCCAAATCCCTTGAAAAATTAATCTCAACATATAGTAATACATTATGAATTTTGAAAATTGGGTAATGCATTGATGTATATTGAAATCAAATTTTCAGGGTTTTGTGCGTTCCATTTATTTTTTTTATAATTTAAAGCCTGATATGTTATCGAACAGAAGGGCTGAATCAAATAACAACTAAAGTGGCCATTTTCCATTGGCAGTACCTATATTTTCCCAATTAATTTACGTGTTGCTCTCAAACGTTTATCTTTTGTTCATATAGGATTTTATAAGTCTTATGTCCAATTATTATTTTATAAACCTTGCTTTTGTGCAACGGGATTAAATATACCCTTGTTTGAATTTCTTGAAATTCCGCCGAGCATCGATGATTCCTTAGAAGTTTATATACCCCTAACTCAATTGATTTCAGATGATTCCGAATTGGAAGTAAAAGAAATTAGGTAAGATTCATGAGATGATGAACCATATTGTTTTAATTTTGCTATTAATTCAATCAGCTTCTAATATTAAACAGCCGTGATAAAATTCCTGATATTCAAATGGTACCTTTAATTAATTTCACGACATTTGAAAATATGTCATCGAAAAGAAGAAAAAACGATTATAAAGATTTTTTAAAGACTTTAAGGGCTGCATTTTATCCCAGCAAATACGTCGATCTTAAGAAATATCCTATCCCTTTTCTTCAACTTGTGAATAAAGTTGAAAATTATCCGAATGATCCATTTTACTATAATCCATCCATGGAAGCTGCCATGAATTTTATGTGGCATTCTTCCAAATCACATTGGCGACATACTTTATATATTTTTATAATGTATTTTTTATCTTATTCGATTATTTCCTGGATGTTTATCGCGCACATTGAAGTTACCAGTGAATTTGAACACACACTGGTTTTTGTAACGATTATATTCTTTTTTTATTTATCTTATTACCATCTAATGATTGAATATAACCAAATGCGTCATAAAGGTTGGAAGTATTTTAGTGATCTTTTTAATTGGGTGGATCTTTTTTCACTTATTGTACCATTTGGTCTTGTTGTTTATATGTTAATGGATCATTATACTTTCGAGAATGGATTTAAATATTCCAAATGTACCCTGCTTATGTCATTTATTGTTTTTATAAGTGTTATAGGCATTTGGTATGAACTTGTAAGTGTATAGGAATATGAATTTTTTTTGGTTTCTATTATGTTATTTATTTATGGTTGTTTAAAATATTATTTAGATTTTGTTATTACGTATTTTCCCAGGTATTGTATATATATAAACATTGATCTAAAATTTTTCAAACTTAACACATATACATATTTCATATTGTTTAGGATTCGCACATTACCTAAATATACTTTACAATATTCTTGCTAATATACGGTTGTTTTTATTATTTTTTGCTTTAACTGTAATTGCAATGGTTAGATACTATTTAAATTATTATTATCATTTTATCATTGTATTATTATTCGTAATATTATACTCACATTTAATTTACCGTAATTTGCTTTAGGGACATGCATTGTAAGTTTATTATGCATATTCGAAAATACTCAAATTTTAAGATTTGTACTCATTTTTTTTTTTACTTTATTCAGATTTATTTTTCTTGGGTATGCATCATATGTCGGATTAAATCAATCGTCAACAGTATATGATATTTATAATGGGAGCGAAGTAGACTATACTATGATTGAAGAAGAGCAGGATAATACATTTTCAAACCCTTTTAGCGCTATAATTGCTGCATATAATTGGGATTCAAATTCATTTGATGTTTGGGGATTTTGGCCTCTCATTATAATCGGTGTGATTGGTAATATTATTTTTGTCATCATACTGCAAAATGTTATTATCTCATTTATGAGGTATGTTTAATAATGTCATAGTTTAGTTCCATGGGTATTTTATAAAAAAAATTACTTGATTGATATTAATATTATTTAAATTCATTAAAAGTGCTGCTTTCGAGGATGCTGATAAAGAAGGAAAACGTGCTGTTCTCAATTATCAAAGTAGATTAATTTATGATTATGCGCTTCTTGAAGATTCTGCTTTCACTACAGGATATAGTGATTTTGACTCCAAGCTTAAGAATAAGTTAAGAGTGAGGTATGTTTGCTTTTATAATGAATTACCTATTACAAAAGCATGGAAAGAAGAAAGTAAAGAATGGGAATCAATTCCAATATATTTAAATGCTGAAAGTCAAATACAAACAGAAGATGAAAGTGATTTTTTTATCAAAAAGGAAGATATTAAATTCATTTGGACTTCTACGGAAAATGAGAAGACAGCAGAAGAAACAGATAATAAGACTTGAATGATGATAGTTCATTAGACTGTTTACTTGATTCTTCAAGCGATATTCGTTTTATTCTTTTATACTTAAACTATTATTTTAATATATAAAATAATTTTTATAAATAAACTTTAGTAACTGTTACCAGAGTCAGATATACTAAGTAAAAATTGTTCCGAATCCTGAAAACCCCGTGTAACATAAAATTTGGACAATAATATCTAATCTCTATTTTGGCCTTAAACTGCCCCAGGGACTAAAAATAAAGCAGTAATACTCATCACCAGTTATTTGAACTCAACTTCTTTATAAAGGATACTAAAATTTGACAATGATAATTAAGAATTATTTGATGAATGTTGATAAAAACTGTAGTGAAAATCATGGGCCATGCCAAGTTAAAACTATGTTTAACATAATCTTCCCTCTCTTTGAGTCTCAGTAGAGGTTGGAACCAGTTTTAAAAATTCGAATTTTTATATGATAAACCCGAATTTTTAAAACTGGTTCCTACCTTTAAGTCTCAGATACGTATATGGGGATAATAACAACACTTAATATAAAATCGTATTGACTGATCAAAAAAATTTTTTAGTCAATCAAAATATGATATTTTTATTCTCCGGTTACTTTGCAAAAATCCGTTAAAATTGAACTTGCTAAAAATAAGTAAATTTTTTTTTTTATATATTAAGGTGACCTCTTTGGTCTTTTGACTTTTATTAACAACTTTTTTGGTAATGTAATTCTATGAACCACTACAGGAGAACTTACAATTGGTTACACATGTAACTTTTCTATATTACCTATTTAAGAAGTCTGCCTGAAGGTTCCTTATCAATTGTTGTACTTAATATTTTTGCTTGGTTGTTCTACTTTAAACCTTCTGAATCTGTATTTTGTGTTAACATCATTAGGTCATATCTAGATGTTCAGATCATTGTTTCAATCTTAGGATTATTTTATTCTAGAAATAAACTTCTTAGAGCTTTCTATACTCATTTTTACAGCTGACTTAGGTATCATTATAACAAAACCAACACTTGTGATCATAGTTATATCTTTAACTGTTATGACCTTATAGAATTCATCTAAATCTCAACATCTATTTTACAGTATAAACTCAGTATTTTAGTATACCTCTGTTTTTTGTTTTGACTCCCAATCCAGATAGTCTATGTAGGATTATGATCAATTCATTGATATATTAGGTTAACCTAATATCCTTTTCTTTTAGTTTATTCTGATAATTAGGTTAATAATGTCTCTGAGTTTTTTTCAAATCAAAGGTTCTTGTCTGTTCAGGTACTTAATTTTGATATTTATTCTCTCAAACTAGTCTTTACAGTAATATTATCTAAGATTCAGTTATCTCTCTACTTGGGTCTTCCTAAATGGACTTCTTGTTATCCAATTTTAACAGATTTATATATCATAAAAACTTATCTAATATTTGCATTATCTGATTATCTGTTTGTATTTCTTTATATAATTATACAAATGCTTCATGATCTGTCAGTCATATTGATATGACTACTATTACAAGTATCCTAATCTAATCATTAATAACAGTTGTTATAATACAAATATTATATAGATGATTATCTAAATTCAATCATCAATACTCTTTCCAACAATCATTTGAACTAAACATTCCAAAAAGCTGAACTATAGAAAATAATATAGTTAATATATTAAACTTTATGAAAACCTTTCTGGAGTACTGTACATACATTGTTGGACATTGAAATAGAGGTAAAAAAAGAGTTGCAGCCTTGTGGTGACAGTTTAAAGAGTACTCTAGGACTATAGAAGAAGTAGTCAGTGAAAGCCAAGGTTCTTTATTAAGTAAACAACAAAGTTGAATATATTAGTTCTATACAACTATAAAACCTACAAGGAACACCCACAAGGGTTAAGAACTCACAAAAGCTAAAAAGTT